AAAAAAAGCAAATCCTGTTTAATATACTCACTTTGAAGAGAAAAAAGTGATTGAAAAGAAAAATATCCAAGTATCCCAGGGGCATAACTCACTTTGTTAAATAAAATTACATTAGAAGTTGATGTCAGGAAATCTGAATTGAGTAAATAGCAGTAGGGAAGCTTTTTTAAGTAATGTTACGGTGATTCTTTTATAAATAATCCTTTTGTGCAAAAATAATTATGCCCTAATTTGTCTTTCTTATAAATCTAGATTTTTCACAATATTATATGCAAATTAACGTGTGATTAAGTTTCAATACCAGATTTTTCAAACCTTCAATGAAAATACTTAAAACTGCGTGTGAACGAGTTGAAAATAAGACTAGTTCCACTTATTTCATCACTATTTTTATTGCATTTCACCCAAGTATATTTTCCTAATCTTATTTATTTTCTCCTAGGAAAATACACAAGTAGATTTGAAACCTGTGGTTTTACATTCATTAATATGCTCAAACTATTGTTATTTCATATTGTTATGTTACGAATTTTATTTCACAACTCTGGCAGTGAGAAATATCACATTCTTTTATTTTGCTAAATCAAACAAAATCTGTTCCAAGCCCCCATCATGAAAGACTGGAGGGAAATTAAACCTCATTCTCAGTCTACAAGTCCTGAATCTAACCTGATGGCTTTGTGAAGTCGTTAAAAAGCAATTCCTTGGGCGTGCCTGTGACAGGTACCACTGTATAAATTGTGTGGTCAATGCAAAGAAACATGGCACACTTACACACAGTTCCCTTGTTGTAAGAATCAGTAATCACATTAGGGATTCAAAAAATAAACACGTAGGAAGTTTAGCAATATGAGAAGGAAAAATAATTTTTAAAAATCGCAAAGGGATGGGTGCTTAAATATTACAATGTGCGCTCATGGTCCAGAGGACAAGGGTGCCACTGTGTGCTGGAATGACCAGGGATCACAGTCAGTGCAACTTTTTATCTGGCCTTAAGCATAAATGAGATTTTAAGAGTGCAGAGGGGATTCCAGGTAGGGGAAAGAGCCTAAGCAAGGACTGGAGGTGAGAAGACAGCAGCTGTGTGCAAGGGCCGGCAAGCCAGCCTGGTTGCAACAGGTTGCTCATACTGGGGAATTGTATTTCAACACCAGGATTTGGGAGATCTTGAATGTAAAGGAGTTTGGATTGTATACTGTAATAAATGGCAAGTTAATGAAGAGTTATGAGCCAAGAGGTGACAGGATCAAACGAGTGTTTATCTCAGATATGCATCAGATGAATTAGACTTCAGAAAGCAACTGAAACAACCCAGGTGTGAAAAGCAAAGCATAGGGAATGAAAAACAATGACCTTATCAAGAGGAAAAACCAGTGCTGCATTGCTGTTGTGGCTTCAAGATTTTGAGCCTCAGTGACCATGAAATAGTTGCCCCAAAAGGGAAACTCTTTAGAATAAGACAATTTTTAGAATACAATGATGGTTTTAGAAAAGTTAAATTATTATACTGCTAGTGGTATTTATAATCATTAGAATTTCACAAGTTCACTAAGGGAAACAGCATGAAGAGAGAAAAGCAAAGGGTTATGGGCTGACCTCAGGCAGCAACTGTATTTATGATCAGAACAAAGTCACTGTAGAAGAGAGAAGCAAAAAAGGAAACGTGGGAGAACTCACTAGGCGTCATGGGGGACTTTGGGGAACATGCTCAGGGACTCCTGAATCTTGGCTGGAATAAAAATGCTACCTTCAAAGAATAAAGGAGTCAAGCTGAAACGTTCGGCTTTTTTTTTAATGACAGGACATTACCACATCAAACTTTTATAATACAAAAATAACTTTACAGTATTAAATAGCGTTCCATCTGAACCATCACAAAGGCAAATCCTACTGTATGTATGTGCAAAGTGTTGTATGTCACAGACTTTTCTGTTCTGGAACTAGCAGGTTTGACTTAGTCCAAATTCAGTTTTTGAAAAAGTTTCCTTCTTCCAAGTAGAGTTTTTAACCAACATTTAATTTTTCTGCTTGTCATACGTTATTTTCAATGACACATCTAGTTTTTGTTTGTCTAAGCACTGTTCCTACATTTTTAAAGAATATTTAATTTCAGGGAGTACAATAGAAACTAGCTTTTCGCCTCTCAAGCCACGAGGAAGATAAGCCACTAAGAGGATCATTCATGCCACTGCTTGGCCCCTTGGACAGGCTGTCATTTCTCTGTACTTGACCGCTTACCTGCTGGGCGAAAAAGGATGAAGCATAATCCAGTTCCGAGTGAACAAGTACCAAACTGAAAATCAGAGGCTCAACAATGCACTCTGATTTCGATTACCAGTTTATAATAGTGCTAAAGAATTCTCAACAGGAGAAGAGCTAATGAGCAACATTAAAATACTGGAAGCTCATAGAATTTCATTTTCTCTTTTATAAGCCTAAAAGCATTGTGGTGTGTTTCAGAGCCGCTTCCTCTACAAATTTTGCATCCACATTGTCATGTCCTTCAAAAGCATACAGAGCTGAAAAGAAAGGGAGAGGGAAGAGTTATGATGAAGCCACAGAACATTTATAACATTGTGCCCACACCTCATTGAATTCATAATTATTTCATATTTTAGTAAAACACATTGTTCTGAGAATGTGTTGTTAAAATGTACTCAACCTGAGCACCATGAAAGGCCATTCACACCAACCAAATGGGTTTTTAACCTCAATCCTTTTAGAACTTGAAAGGTGTTTTATTCCTTTGGTAATTTACTCTGGGTAGTAAAATTGTGTATTGCTAATTAAAACCAATTGCAATAAGATCCTACTTATCAGTAAGGGATATTTTGGCAAGAAAAGGGTACACAGAAGTGAGCAGGAGCTGATGGAAGTGAGGGGAAAAACAGGAAAACCCTGAAAGCAGAGGACTGACTGACCTGGATTGGAGGACTCGACATCTGTCAGTATTTCAATGAAGTAGTTCAGAGGCAGAAACTCTAAACTGAAAGATGACTTGTCCATCACAGAACTCCGAGGCTAAAAGAGAAACCACTCTGGTATCAGTTGATTCTCCAAAACAAGCACAGACTTAAAGTGATGAGAACGACCATTGCTGCCCATATGGATAAGTTGAAATGGGTGGTGAAGAGACTCCAAAAAACGTTTGGTGGGGCTGTGCTCCACACGGACTCACCTGTTTGCTATAGTCTTGAAGCAGTCGCTTTACATGGTTCCGGGAAATAATGTTAGAACTCATAGGATGATCCCAAAGTCGACAGATCTTCTGACCAATATGCTGTTTTAGTAAATTGAAAAATATTTAGAGGAGGGTTTTTAGGGCAGTGAAAATACTCTGGATGATACTACAATGAGGTATCTCCTTATACATTTGTCCAAACTCACAGAATGAACACCACCAAGACTGAGCCCTAATGTGAACTAAGGACTTCGGGTGATTGTGATCTGTCGGTGTAGGTTCATCCACTGTAACAAATGGACCACTCTGGTGGGGGGTGTTAATAATGGGGGAGACTCTGCATGTGTAGGGGGCAAGGAGGGTTGTGTGGGAAATCTCTATACGTTCCACCAAAATATTAAGTCAATAATAACAAGATGGAAAAATACAGAGAGGAGAATATAGCTCACACAGCATTAATTCATCTCGTATCTGCTCATAATTTTAAAAGATTTATTCCAAAGCAGGTAGTTAGTCTAGAGGACAGTCTCTGTATGGTTAATGGCGCTTGGAGAAAGGCCATTATTTCCTATGAGGTATGCTTCTGAATTTTGCATAAATGTTCCTTTAAATGCAACTTTCCCTGAGGAAAGTATTTTATGCATTGATGTTGCCAAACTCTTTCTGAAACGCAGATCATCTGCTACCTTCAGAACTGGGTATCTGTATGCCAACACTAATGATATGTTGATAGGAAGCTAAAGCTTGTTGGCATGTACTCTGCCAGCGTCTTGCCCAGAAAATTTTAATTCCCTAAGAGTATAAGGCAAAAAAAATCAAATTTAGAGATGAAAGTAAATGTTCGGAGACATTCCCCAGAGAGAGCTAGCCATGGAAAATAAGCTTTGTTTTCTATTCTTGCCTTTGTTTCACTAAGCCTGTGAGGGCGAGAGGGTGTTACAAAGCACGACAATTAGGTCCAGAAAGGCAACAGACATCCCTTTGTGGAAGGATCGTGCCAGAGATACAAGCGCTCGAGGTATGTAAACAGCACAGAGCCGGCCCCGGCTCTCAGGGCCAGGAGGTCCGCAGAATCAGACAGAGGCTCTGAAGACCTTGCCGTCGAATTTCTTAATTTCACAGCATTTCTGACTCAGAGATCTAATATCCCTCATAAAATAAGGAGTGCCCTTTCCCTCGTGTTTCTCATTTTTCCTTCAGCTGGGGAATGTTTTCCTGCCGTGGTGGAAACAACAGTGGGAGGAAATGCAGTTCCAGAACCTTCTGACCTGACCTGTATTTAAATTTCTTATCAGTTTAAATGCTAAAAGCACATGTTTCCCCTCTGCCTCCCGTCAGACTCACAGATGTAAATATTAGAGTGGTTTCCTAAGAGGAGAAAGCGGCTAAACGTTCTAGGCGGGCTCTGCCAAGGCAGCACAGGCCAGAGCGCGAGCACGCGCTGGGCCCGCGGGAGCAGCCGCAGCAGATAGACAGGGTTTCTTGGAAACGGCCGAAGAGTGAACCGATTCAGCTGACTTTAGCCCAAAGCCAGTAAATGCTCTTCTTGCAAGAGGAAAGTGAAGGAGGTAAGTGCCAAGGCTTAGAGAGTAAAATGTACTTCAGGATTACCGGAGGAAGCCGCACGATGATGCTGAATTTTAGTTTTTCGTTTTTCTCTGTATTGTCCAGGTCTACAAGAAAGTTAGAAACTGGTAACATTTTCAAATAAACTTTCCAAATAAAGCAAAACAAACAGGAAAAAAAAATCCCAGAACTCTTCATTCTGACACCTGAGCAAGCTCTTACTTCAGTGGTTCATTCTGATAACACATGTCCCAACCTTGGATTCCAAGCCAAGTCTAACAATGCTACGAAAATATGAGTTTATTTCTCTCTGAATAAAGAAAAACAAAGGATTTCTTGATGAAGTTGCTTCTGTATACCGTGGAACATGATTCCATATTAGGCTTCCAGTCATAAAGCAATTTTACTTTGTGTTAAAACAGTTAAAACAGAAGGCATCTTGAGGAATGGCAAATAATTCAATATATATTAACAAAATTCATCTATAAAATATACCACAAGTGAATAATTTAGCTGAGAGTCATCACACTACAGACCTTATTTAAAGTTCAAGTCTCACTTTGAGAGGACAGAGTTAATCAGCTGAAAGGAAGCCATTTCATGACATTTTCTTGAGAAATAAGCCTTCAGTCTCCTCTCCTCAAGTGCCTTCATGTACAGAAAAGGAATCTAATAGCTGTGTGTGGACTGGGAAGTCCTCGGGGTCCTCCTGCAGGGCTAAAGCACTTTGGCCCAAAAGATGGTTACAGGAAATGAACTGGTCTCAGCAATTACCAGCTGCGTAATTGTGGAGCCCACTGCAAAATGAAAATGAGGAGCTCCTGTTCAGATGTTAAGAATATTAAGATTCAATGCAGAGCATTAAACCATGTGTGTGGCCCTTCTGAGGGCAGCAGGGCCCAGGGTGGCCACACAGCTCGCACACCCACAAAGGCAGCCCTGGCGGTGCTCGGGCTGGAACAAGCCCTCTGGAAAACTCCAAGCCCCTTACCTTTCATGAGCCTTGTGACAGCTGTTTCCGTGAGAAGCAACACTCCGTTGTCAATGTAATGCAGCAGGTTATGCAAAGGGAGACAGTGGACGCCAAGGATGGTGTGCAGAGTGTGAAAACCTAGGACGAGAGACCCGGGAGGGTAAACATGGTCAGAGACCAGGGGGAATGGATCTCGCCATGGCGATAAAGTACTCAGCTCAGTGCCTGGTGCCTAGAGTCCAATAAATGCTCCTTGAAGACAAAGTCTAAGGTCCCTTCTTTGTATTATCACAACTAAGTACTCTGCTGGGTATGTAGTCAGTTCCCAATAAGCATGTATTCTCTCCACCTTGTAAACCTTCCTGGGCAAAAAGAGTGCAGGGTCTGCTGTATGAAAAACGGTTTTATAGTTTAATAGGTTTGTAATTCTACGGTTAAATGGCAAAATAGACAAATTAACAGAAGAGCTTCAAACTCTAAATGCCCAAGCTAAAGGGCTGATGGATGGGGACCATTTTGCTGAAGGAGAAAAGATTTGAACCAGAAGGGGACAGTTTATATGACTAAGCTCTGGGTATGCCCTAGAGAAAGGCTTTTGGAGCCTCCTTGGACTAAATCACGGAAAAGAAGAACTAAAATGATATGGTCTGATTGCAAATCCCTAGGAGTTCGGTAGAAAGGTCCTCTCTCAAACTGAAGTCTCATGGACATGGCTACCCAAAGTTTCACAGAGCCAGGGCTCTAACAACACTCAACACTAAGCGGTGAAAGCCATATCTGTGGGAGAGAAAAACATCAGATCAGGAGAGACTCAAAAGAGGCCCCTGAAATACTACTCAGCCATAAAAAAAGAATGAGACCGAAACATTGTGCTGTGCACCAGAAATGGACACAACATTGTAAACTGACTATACTTCAATAAAAAAATTAAAAACAAAAGTCTGATACATTAAAATAAGAATGAAATAATACCATTTGCAGTAACATGAATGGAACCTGAGTTTATCATATTAAGTGAATTAAGTCAGACAGAGAAAGATAAATATCATATGATATCACTTATATGTAGAATCCAAAAAAAAAGATACAAATTTTATTTACAAACCAGAAACAGACTCACAGACATAGAAAACAATGTCACCAGAGGGGAAAGAGGGGAAGGGATTAAACTGGGAGTTTGGAATTAACAGATACGCACTACTCTATATAAAACAGATAAACAACAAGGACCTACTATATAGCACAGGGAACTATATTCAATTTCTTGTAATAAGCTACACTGGAAAATAATCTGAAAATATATGTGTATGTATATGTATAACTGAATCACTTTGCTGTACACCTGAAGCTAACACTGTAAATCAACTACACTTCAATAAAAAAACAGAATAAAATAAAAAAAGAATAGCGCCCTTAGAAAAGATGGCATGGGGGAGGAGCTCTGAAGGACAAATGCCATTCGTGAGAGTGGAAGTGACATGAGAGGACATACAGACTGGAGACAGCACAAAAAGCCAGGTCCAGCCCAAGGAGACAGAGGCTGGAATCGCACTGTGCTGCTTCCTAGCTGAACATGACGAAGCCTTTCTGAGCCTCTGTTTCTTTGTCCGTAACGTGGAATCCCTGGTACCTTTCCCGCAGGGCTGCTCTGAGAGCCAGAGCTAGGTCTCTGGGGGAGCCTCACACGTGGTACAGCAACGGTGACCAGCACCAAGTGGGTGCTGAGGCCTCTCGTCCACGCCCCGACCCACCTGGTCCTCGCACAACACCAGGAGGCGGGAACCACCTGATGCCCACTTTATAAATGGGGAACCCGAGGTTCGCAGGAGCTAAGAGATCTGCCCAGGATCATATAAATAGAAAATGGCAGAGCTGAAACCTGGACGCAGGCTGTGGGATTTTAGCCTCGGCTTTTAGCCATAACATCATCCCGCCTCGATAACTGGTGTTAATGGGACAATATGAAGAGAGGCCCAAAGGTGAGACCGTACGGGGCACGTTCGGGAAAGATCAAATGATCCAGCTGAGTTGGAACAGGCATGCAAGAGGAACGGGGGGAGGTAAGGTTGGAAAGGTTAATTTATTCAACAAACCCCTTCTACCCACCAGGCAAGGGGCTGGGTGGACCACAATGAGAAAACCGTTTTCACGAGTGCCTCTCCCATCCACCTTCCAGTCTGATGGGGAGACTGATGATCAAATAATCACAAAATAAATATACATTTTAAAAATATGACTGAGAGAGGTGATTAGATAGGCTTACTGACCCTGACTGGCTTCCAACAAGTAGAAGTGAGTGCCAGGCTAATGAAAGGCAGGACATTTCTTGTATCCCACAACTGGCTCCTTAATTCCAAGGACACAGTCCTGCCACAAGATGATTTATGTCCCGCAGCTGCTTCTATTAACTCCAAGGACACACCCCAGTATCTCTTTATTTGTTCCTGCCGAAGTTTCTGTTTTCAGGACTGAGCTTCGAGGGAAGAGCTTGAAACAGCAAGTAATTAGCCCCACCACCAGAATGAGGATAATGACGCCAGAGCCTTCCAATAAAAGACCCTGCAGCTCGATCAGAAACTGAAGCTGTCTCCACTGGCTACCAGGCTGACAGCTCCCCACTGGATTGTTTTCTCTTCTCTCTCTGAGTGATAAAAGCAGTTCTTTTGTCACTTTGTCCCTCTGCCTCTATTGAGAACCCTTTCTCAGTCAGCAGGCAAGAACCCACATGTTTGGGGGGACTTGCCCAGCTACTTGGTGAACTTTCCAATTTGGGGGTCCCTCTCTCCTCTAACATGACCAGTTCTGTGAGGGCAAATTCCAGGGTGCTCTGAATGTATGTGACGGATTGAATGCTGAATGACAGCAAGGATTTAATGTCTAGTAAACTTTGAGGGGGCACTAAAGCTTTTCAGCAGGATGGTTAGGAGATTTGAGTTTTGCTTTTGAAATACTAACATGGCAACAGGCAGAGAAAGGACTGGAGTGACAGTCAGGAGGCTACTGCTGCATGAACCTGTGCAAGAGGGAGTGAGGACACCTACAGTGACAGCGGGAAGGGGTCTCAGGGTCATGGTGATGGGTACCAGCTTGGAAATTGATTGGACGTGGGTGGGGAATGACAAAGACTCACAACCTGATCTTGGGAGCCTCTGTGACAAAGATATGATGGCCAAAGAGCAGGGACTTGGATTCAGAGAAGTCACAGAGCTTTCCCTCTCTCTCTCTCTGAGCACATGAATCATGAGCAGTGGGGGACTTGGGTCCTACATCTTGGCAACATCACAGGTCAGAGAAAGTTCAGACTCTGCCCACAAGCAGATGTCAATGGGCTGACAACGAGATGAGTCTAACTGCTCTGATTCCAAAAAGTGATTTTACTAGCTAATTAACAACATGTGAATTTTCAAATAGATTTGAACAGTCTTCCCAAGATTAAAAAAAAGTTATGAAATTATTTCTGAAGAAGAGTTTATAAAAGGCTGTTGATCCTATAAAAGTTTTCTGGATTCAAAACTCCTCTCTAGCCTTGTGTCCATGTCCTAAAGATCCCTGATGACTCTCATCCTCTGTCCCTAGGGCACAGTCCCAAATTCAACAGCCCAGTCTTGGCCTCCTCGCCACATGTCAGCTCTAAGCAACAGAGCAAATTGGCTAAAAGTGGGCATCAGTTCTGAAAGGGAGAACTTTTCCAGCCAACCCTAGTCCTCATCCTCCAGGGCTCCTGGCCTTCTCCAGCCAGGAAGGAGAACACGGATCCTCTTAAACTGCAAATGCTCCAGCTCTAAACCATGATGTCCTTTTTGCGGTTCTCATTCCCTTTCAAGCTACAAGTTTCTGCCATTTGTAACACAGACAGTTCTCTCTAGCCCAGGGGGCCTGGAAAGTAAGCCCACTTACTTCTGCACACACAAAAGATCTGTGTCTGTACAAACATATACACACCATCCACGGCACTTCATGTTAGGGAAACAAACATGTAAGAGAAACGGGGAAAAAGGATCTGTTCTTCTGTGCTTGATCCATGGACACGAGCCGTTAACTCTTACTCACAGTAATTCTCAGTCAGTATGATAACATTTTTCTGTGTTTTCCCTTTTATCCATCCCTGTGAAGGAATGTGTTCTGTAGAACGTGGATTTTTTGTGGTCTCTCAGATACGCTATTGTCCTCAGTGAGTCAGTTTCATTTACTTACCAAATGAGCTTGGATATCTATGGTGAACAAATCTGAAAGTGTCAATCCATTTCTCTACCAGGTATTTGTGTTAATTTGTGTTAATTAAGAATTTAAGCCAGAAATCCATATGTAATTTTCATGAAACCTCTTCGCTCTTTCTAGAGGACACCTCACAATACATATTCCATTGGGATCATTTAAAGCCACCCATTGTCCTCATGAATGGTCACTTTCAGATCCCTGCAAAGTCCCAAGTCCTTTTGTATCTCCACTACAAGCACATCTCATAAGATCAGGTGTGTGGATAGAGAAAGCACGATCTGATATAGGTTCCAGACTGTATCAAATACATCACAAACACAGAGAAGCTGAGATGTGCTGTGGGGATTTTCTGGACTCATGAATAACCAAAGTTTCATCATCAACTAATTAAACTGGAAAATAAAATTCAAGAGGCAGCACAGAATAGTAGTTTGGAGCACAGATTTTAGAGCCAGAGTCCCTAGATTTGAGTATTGGCTCTGATACTAAATAGCTCTGTGATTTCAGGTAAGTTACTTAACCTTTCTGTGCCTCAACTTCACCATCTATAAAATGGGAATAATAGTAAGTGGAACCATATGAAAGTGCCATCTTTCTTGGTCAAGAACTGGTGAATGTTGACAATTTAATGTGGTTCAGTTTAAGTTCTTATCACTTAGCACTGTTATGAAAATGAAATGTGCTAATTTATGTAAAGTACTTAGAACAGTATCTGGTACAAAATTGGTCCCATATACATGTCAGATTAAAATGAATAAACAAAGGAACAAATTAGTGATGGATAGATGGATGGATATGAATGAATAAATTAAATAAAACTGGCTAATACATATTATGCAGTGATAGCTATTACAAAGCTTAACACTCATTAGAACTTAAACATAATAAACATGAGGCAGACAGTTTATAGCAAACAGGAGCTTATTTGTTTCTTATAATGAATACTGATTTATATGCATATCTTCCCAATTAGACTTTTGTTAATTTTTGGAATGGCTCTAATTTCTAGCTCAGTACCAGGCCTGTAATCATTCAACAAATGTTTGTTGATTGAATAAACTATCGATTAAATGAATGATTGCAGACACATGCACAAAGGGTGTTTTGAGGCCTGATTTGGTCCTGTTTCAAAATCCTAAGGGAAATGTTTAGTTTCCACATAAGAATCAACTCAATTTCTGACACCCAGCCAGACCTATTTCCTTCTGAGTGTTAACCTTCTTGACCAGATAAACTAGACCTAGAGACATCAGAGAAAGATCTCCCTAAATCAACTCCACTGGTCCAAAATATCCTAGAAAGCTGCATGGGGACCAGCCTAGGCTCCCCAGAGTTGGTGACGATCTACAGTTTAGTTTAATACTCAGAGGAGATCAGGTCAGCAGACACCAAACTCAGGCCCATCTCACGATGACACCAGACACACAATTTCTCAGACTCAGGGGGTCTTATCTTTAAACTTATAATGTACCAAAGTCTGGGGACTAAGTGGAGAAGAAAGAACAAATTTATTACAACAAACTCCAAAAAAGCCGAGAACTTACCAGGAGGAAGAGGTAAAAACAAACTTCTAGTAGCTTCCAAAATCCTGGTCATGATGTGAAAGACAGCAAATTCAGCAGCACTGGCCCTCCTATTGCTGGGTCAAAGAGCAAAGCAGCACGTCAGCAGAGCAGCTCATTCTCTAAAAGCTCACTTGTGTGAGCAGTGGCTCTGAGTGCCTCACCCAGATGGAATTCAAGCTGACTGTGCAAGACTGTGCCCTATAGAAAGCTTCATAAATATGATGGTGACCACCAGCCTAATGCCTAGAATCTAACTAGACAGTAGGCACATAAACAATACATTTCATTAACTTAAATTCCCCTTCTTGGCAGGACTGAGCTCATGGGTCCCTCTCTCCTCATCAACCATATGCCAAGGAAAGAAGACGGGGGAAGTGCCAGGGGCATAACTTTAAATGCTGAGTACAGAGACAGAGCTAGGATAGATGCTGGGAGGGCTGATGAGAGTTACTTTCAATTGGTAAGTTTCAAAAAGACTTTGCTAAAGCAGGCAGTGGTCAGAGTTGTTTCAACTCTTTGTACACCAAGATAAAATAGAGCAAGAAGTACTTGCGTACAAGTGGAGGACCCAGGGATGAAGATTATGTTTCCTCCAACTGGCTTCCAGTATTTGGCAAATAAGATCCAGCTGGAAGGTAAAGACAGTCCGTTAACCTCTGTTCATACCCTTTCCCTCAGGGGCCCCTAAACTCGCCTTCCATAGCTCTGGCGGGCAGGCACGTTAGGGCAGCTGGCATTCAGGCTGTGCCTAGACATAGAACCAGCCTTTCTGAGGTTAACTGTGAAGCACAAAATGGAAAGACTGAAAATGTGCATCAGGGTCTAACAGAGCACCCTCTGTCACTGCGGGCACTGCCGCAGCTGAGCTTCCCCACCGCTAACTGGCCCCACCACTCACAAGCACGGGCTCTCAATCAGGGGCCCTTGTCCATCAGAGAAGGTCAAGTGCAACAGGGTTTGCCCTAGAACTGTTATGTGGCAAGGATGACGGAGTCAACAGCTGACAGAAGAAAGGCGATTATGAATAGAATGAAGGTCCTGAGCATGGGCTGTGAAGTAAAACTTGTTCCAAATCCAGGTTCTACATTTTATCAGTTTGTCAGCAATAGGGCAGTCTCCGAGGAGCTGTCAGAGCCACAAACTCATGCATGCACCCGGAGGCAAAGGACGGGGGGCAATTCAGAAAGGGTCTTCACATGAGCACAGGCACTATTTATTCTCAATGGCATAGAATCTTAGTTTCTGTCTGGCTGAGATCAGGTAAGATAACATGTGAGTAATAGAATCAGGTTTTGCAGCAACTTCCTCAGACTTGTTTTATAAAGGCCACCCAGCCACCACCCTGAGAGCTCACTGGGAGACGTGGCTGTTTGCTGCTGGGCAGGGGCAGGCACGTTTGGCTTCAATCAGTGATCAGTGAGTCAGAAAGTCAGGGGCACTGAGTTTTCTGAGACTACATCTCTACCATTTCTGGTCGTGTGCTTCTAGGAGCTGTTAGCACAAATTAGTGTTCTGTGAGTTTTGATCCTTAGACAAAGGCCCTTAACACTCTGGAAGATGAAATTTAAAGTCAACAGAAAGATGATAGGTGATACGTTAAGTAACTGTGAGCTATGAAAAGACAAAGAAAGCAAGCCTGTATCAACATGGGAGGATCAGTAACACATTCACAAAGTGAAGTCCTGGGTATGGTTCTACTGCAAAGAGTTATTATTTAAGAAAGTTTCAATGCCCTGCTTATAAATTTCAGTGTATGTGAATAGTAACCTCTCCTAATACATTAAAAATCTGAAACTCAAAATTTACTTCAGAAATTCAAATGTGTAACTTTAAAACAGATAATAATGACTACAATAAAGGTAGAAAACTTAAACATGAAATTAAATCAAAGCCATATCAAATAAATTTAACTAATCTTCCAGAGTTTAATCTTCCAGAGCCACACACTGGCTCATTTGTACACTGGCCCCACCCCAGCTTGGAGAAATGGAGCATTCCTTCTCTTTCTGTATATTTAAATACATTTTGAAATTTCTCCAGAATATTATTTTTAGGTTCTAAGCAGGATCGGGCCTCAACTCCCCATGCATTTCGAAAGACTCAAGACAGCCTCAAATTTCAAGCCAGCTACATCACTTCTATTTACACATGGACTAGTGTTATTAACCTGGATCACACAATTTCAGTGAGAGGCTACCAGGCAGATGAGCTGCCAATCTCATCACCAGACTCTAATAATGTGGTATTTATACAAGTGAGCTGGAATCTGGCCTAATTGGGCTGTAGGAGCTAATTAAGAATTGAAGTTCAAGTTCTCTAATGTTTGCATAAACCTCTATGTGCAGAAATCACTACCTATGGTTTAATAAGGATCTGGAAGATGCCAAGATGACACGTGCTCATCTGGCACCCATGCTGAATTCATCACTGCTCTGCGCTTGCATGAATGTATAACCACGCTGGGGGGGGGGAGTGCAATAAATCACGTTCTCTTTGGTTTTGGGTTCTTTTACCCCCTTTCTTCAATCTATAGCACCGAGTATACTGGTTTGAGGATGAGAGAGTCCAAAAACCTAATTTGGAAAATATACTGAACCACATACTCGAAACTATACACCAGGGCAGCTGCGGCGGGTACGGGGAGAGGTGTGTAGGGGTTGGGGGAGGGGGTAGAGAAGAAAAAGCAAAACCAACCAGTTTTGAAATGTAGTCCAGAACCATCTGTTCAATTTTCTTCTTTTCTACACCCTGTAGGTGTCTCAAAAGATGGTCTTTTAGCTCAGACACCATCTGAAAACAGGATATGGATTAGATAAGTTACAACCTGCCCACTCACATCTGCAACTGGTTTGAATTCGATTCATTTATTAACACCCCTTATCAGCATGAAAGATACTGGATCTGAAGATCCCACCAGCAGAAGTGCATAACCCACAATGTTCCTTTGCTGGGTGTAAATCAGGAGGCCCCATCATTTTCCTCAACAGGAACTACTTATGATTCACCCAAAGCCCAGTGAGCAGCTGAGAGTCAGGCTCCCAGCCCTGCTGAGAATTCTCCAAAGAAGCCAGTGCAAGTCACTAGCTTAGCAGTGAAAGGCTTTGGGATCTACCAAAGGATTGACATCTAGTACTCCTGGCTCTGGAGAACTCACAGGAACAACTCTAATGACTATGCTAATGGGGGCCGGGGGCAGGGGGTCATGGTTTGGGGTGTTCGGAAGGACAGAGGCTGGAGTAAAAAGGAAATGCATCAGGTACCTCCCTCTGCACAGTGGCTACAGACATTCCTCACAGCCCCCGACATGCAATGATAGTGAAATACCTATTGTAGTGCCCCCTAAAGGGCTTGTTTCTATACCCTCCCTGTACTGATCATCCTTGAGGCTCCCCAGTCAGTGTGGCATTCCCAGCCCTCTCCGCCTTTTGCTTTCCTTTCTCCTTTTTTCTTCTTTTTTCCCCTCCCTTTTGCCTAGATGCCCTGCTTAGCTACAGATCCTCTTGGCTGGAAAAATCTTTGTATCAGTAAACACCATGGGAATTGTACAACTGATATCACACGTGTGTTTATCTTCTATTTTAGCAGATTTACATATACAATACTCTGGGTAAAACTTAGTGCTTGGAGTCCTGGGCCAAGACAGAGTGATAGATTATTTCAATTCAGTCTCCTGCATGTACTAATTGATTAGGCTTTTTTAAAAAAACATTATTTTTTTCTGGGTAAGATATAATGCATACTTTTTTGTGCATTTCAATTTTTCTGTAATAGCCATACAGATTAAAATTTAAATTGCTCATAATTCTACCATCTATATTAACATCTGGCTTTTTTAATTTTCCTTTCTCCAGTGTGCACACCCATTCTAATATTTAATAATATGCTTTTTTCATGTAATACTTTATCATTAAATATTCTTTATCACACTAGTTGTAATGGCTGCACAGTGTTCAATTTTATAAAAGTACTACAATTCAATTATTTATCCCCTTCTTATACATGTGGGATATTTCTTTACTATTGTCAATAATACCACAAAAAAAATCATTATACAGAGGCTGTTCACCATATCAATTTTTTTGTCAGGCTACATTCTTAGAAGTGGAATTTGTTGGGTCACGTACTTCAGGTTGTGGAAACCCTGCTGAAATGCCTCCCACTGTGTTTATGCTAATTTCCAGCTGCACTGCATGAGGCTGTCCAATCCCCTACACCCTGAACTTTCCTAGCATGATTTTAAAATTTTTGTCAACTTGATTGGCAAACAAACAAAAACACTTGTTCTCTTTGTCATCTGATTACAACAATGTTATACATTCTCTTTGTTCCCCTGCCCCTACTTGAGATTTTTTTTGGTATAAATTACTTTTGAAAACTCATTGGTCACAGGCTTTGTCCATTGCCCTACTGGTGTGTTGTTCTCTTATTGATTTATAAACTTTATAGCCAAATGTTAATCTTTTATCACATATGTGTTAAATTTTTTTATAAATGTTTTCTTTGCCTTTTTGTTGTTCTGCTTCTAAGTTTTCAATCTTTTCCTGTGTGTTTATGTTCAATAATACCCTCAAAGGCTTTCTCGATTTCAGTATAATTTAACTATCCACTTATTTTATTCAAATCTTTCACACAGTTTAATTTTTTATATTGGACTCCTTATTCTAATATTTCTGATCTTAATCTGATATTTCTGTGTGTTTATGGTATCAAGTGGTGGTATTCAGGGTAGGAAGACTCTAACTTAATTGTCTTTTCCAAACAGTCAACCATTGAATGACTGACTGATTAAAAATTATTTCTTTCTACACTGATTTTTAAATGACTCATTTATCATACAGTATTCAGATTTAAACTAGAGTCTCCTGTCTTTTTATACGAACCACATTGTTCCAATTATTGTAGGTCAACAAAGTAATGCCAATCCCATTCCTCTTTATTTTGTCAAGTGAGTCAGTCAATTGCCATAGAAATTTTATTGGCTTTTTCGTTGTAATTTTATTAAACCTAGATGCTAAGGATTTGGAAATTAAACATTGTTCTTCATTATTTTTTCTAACTGGTTAATTCTAACAAAAAAAAAGAAAATACAGCATCATCAGCTTACTAACTTGCTGTATTTTTTAATTTTTAATTTAATTTAAAATCTTATTTTATGATTATTTTCCATTTTCCCAGTTGATTGTTTGTAGCATTAGACAATCAGTATCTTCTTTTACTTCTGCTTCTTACTGCATTGGCTAGAACTTCCAGAACAATGTAAAATTTAGTGAAAATAGCAAGGATCCTTCATTTCTTTCTGCTTTTACTTTTTTTTATTGTAGTACAGTCAATTTACAATGTTGTATCAGTTTCTGGTGTACAGCACAGTGCTTCAGTCAAACATGAACATACATATATTCGTTTTCATATTCTTTTTCACTGTGAGCTACTACAAGATATCGAATATAGTTCCCCGTGCTACACAGTATAAACTTTGAAAGTCAGTATCTGCAAATCTTGAACTCCCAATTTATCCCTTCCCACCCCTTTCTGCCTGTAACCATAAGTTTGTTTTCTATGTCTTAGTGAGTCTGTATCTGTCTTTCTGCTTTTAATAGGAATGTCTCCAACGTGACATTAAGAAGGATGTTGATGAATGTGTGTGTGTGTATATAGATTGATATATATATATATACAGCTCAATCACTATGCTGTACACCAGAAACTAACACAACACTGTATATCAACTATACTTCAATAAAATTTAAAAAGCAAAGACTAAGAAGGATGTGGGCCGCCAGCACCAGATGCCTCTTTGTCTCAGTGACTAGTGTGTCCCAGGGGCGGGAGTTTACTTTCATCAGCGTTCAGCACCTGTAGAGACCATCTTTTTCGTTTCCTCTTTGACCGTGTGATGTTAATATATTCCTATTAAGCTTCCTAGAAAGAAGCCCACGTGACTATGTTGTATTTTCAAATTCACCACTGGAAAGTAGTTTAATCAAACCTGTGGTGTTTATATTCATACGTGAAAGTGGTCATTGTCAGATTCTGCTTTTAAGGTTACGCTGGCTTTTCAAAATGATTAAGAAGCTGCTCACCTTTTTGCAAAAATACTTTACATAGCATGAGAAGGACTTGGTCCTTAAAAGTTTGAAAAAACTAACTCATTAAATAACTTGGGAACTTTTGGGGAGATAATCTGACACTTTTTCCAAATTATTTTATGGTTATTGTGATTTTAGGCTTTTTATTTCTTCTTGGCTCAAGTATGGTCACTTCTGTTTGCCAAAGAAACTTTGTTTAACTAAACTTTTTAAGTGTATGAATATGAATTTCTACATATTTTTCCAGTATTTTAAAACTTACCATATCTAAGTTAACAGATTTTCCAATTCCTAAGCCTTCACAGTATTGAGAATATTTTATTAGACTTTTCAGATGTTTTTTTAAACAGTTTTTTTAAAGATTTTTGTATTTATTTACCAGTTCTGTTCTTTAATTAATTTATTTTGATTTATACCTCTTCGGTCTTCCTAGCAGTAGGACTGAAGAAAAAATAATTTATTCTGTTGTATTTTAAACCCAAATACAAATACGACAGAGCTGTTGCTCTTTCCTGTTTTGAATACTCTCAGTGCTGTACATTTCCTTGTGATGTTTTATAATTACACATTTTTTGAGGTGACGATTAATACATGGCTCTCTCACAAGACTACAGATACCAAGAGGGCAGAAATCCTGTGTTGCTTATCACTAAACACACAGAACCAACAGCAGCTGGCAAGAACCATGTGTCGAAAGAACGAATAAAAAACAAGACCAGAATGAGAAGCACAATCTAGCCCTTCCCCTTGGAGCATTGCTCACCAGCACCCAAATGGCCCGCAGACCGCTTACCAGCCCCATAAGCAGCCTCTGGTGGTTGTCTTCCTCCTGGAAGAGGGGTGTTAACCTTGGCTCTGAAATTAAACAGAACAACAGTCAAGCAGGGTGGTTTTCAGGAAATGGGCTAGAAGGACAAGGCACTAGCCTGGGTTTCCCTTCTCTGAGTCATTGGGAAAACATAATATTTCCCTAATGAGATAAAAATTTTTCATACAGTGTGACCTGATCCTACAAGCTGGAACTTATCACTCAGGAGAGATGTGGAGAGCTCTGTGAACCAGAGAGAGGTAGAGACTGGGAAAGAAAGAAAGGAGACATAGAACACGTTCCCAACACCGACAGTCTCTGGCTTTGATTTCTCTTCAGTGAGAAGACTCACCACTGAGAACCTCTGCTTCACAGAAGACTGAATGACTTGGGTCCTCTCTTAACCCTAAGGGAGCCATAAACGCAGGTTCAGGGACTTGGTGGAAGGATCTCACGACTCCCTTCTACCTGACCCCAACTCACGGCTTACTGACCTGGGCGTTACTAATGAGGGGACCAGTCAAAGACTGTGGCAAATAAGAACTACCAGCACAAGTGAGTGGGATGAAAAGGTAACTAGATCAAGATGGACAAGTGGCATGTGAGGTTAAATCAAATGGCACTATCTCCACCGTGATGTGCAATGCACCAGCAGGACAGAGGGAGCGGGGCAGGCAGACACTGTCTCCAGGACGATCTGCCCTGACACCCCCCTCACAGCACCTTCACGTTGTCCTTTCCCAGAACACCTGGTCAGGGGCCGATGACCCACTGTGGGAGGGCATGGATGCCTCTTGACCCCTTGGGATAAATTCTATCTGATTCCCACACAATGTTCATGATTAAGATGAAACACTGAAAACTAGAGCCCTGACTTTCACAGGGAACGTTCTGTTTCTGGCAGTGATGACATCCTTCCTAGGAAACTAGCACAAGCAGAGCATGTGAGAGGCAGGAGCGAGTTCCCTGAAGTGCAGGGAGAGTGTGACCAGTAACGGGACGCAAACAGGCCTGAAGCACTGGGACAGAAGGCGCTCTAACAGGGCGGACGGGAGCAGTGGACACACAGAAACCTTGGCCAGACCTGCAGCATTCCCCACATTGCCAACCCCCTGCCAACAGACGGGGTGAGCCTGAACCACACACATTCACGCCCCTGCCTGACAGCTCCTGCCTGGTGCTGGTGGCAGGACCCCTGGCTTCAGGCCTGGACCTGGACAGCCTGGGTCCCCTGGGTGACGCAGTGACTTCTGGTTCACATGGGCTGTGCTTGCAGCTGCAGGACATTAGGGTCACCAAACACATACCCAAACATCCAAGCCCGTGAAGCAGAAGTGAGACATAAAAACAACAGCTCTGTTTTCTAAATGGAGGCTGACCTTCACGAGGTAAGACACAGTTCCCCTGACAAACCCACGAAAAAGCTTGTACTTGAAGATGCTCAATGGTCTCTTCCCCCAGCTTCACCTGGCTCAGATCCCCTTGTTTGTCAAGTCTTAACCTGGATCTCACCCCCTCTGGGAAGCCTCTTCCAACTTTTGTCCCCACTCCTGACCTAGCCCCTCACCCCCAGGGGCTATATAATGCTTGTCACCTGGTTTAGAAATTCTGGGTTAGCATTTCTTCTTCACACATTAAAGATAAAGCAGCGACTTCAGGTGACCTGCACACCAAGCACAGGACTGGGCTCGATAAGCACGACCCTGTTTCCTCTCATCCTCTCCTCATCCTTGTCCCGAGGAGGACAACGCACGAAATGGATAAACGGTTTGCCCAAGAGCACATGGGTAGCAGGTGTCCAAGCTGGAGTCTAAGCCTGGTTCTGTCGGCCTCTAAGCCCATAATCAGGGCTCTTGTCTAGAGGCGTCTTATCTTCCTGCCCCTGTGACCTGGCCCAGTGAGTGCCCAAGTGCTAACAAAATGAAAGGAGCATACACATCAGAGACCCTGGTCTGATCAGATGGCTGGAGAGAAAGCAGCCCCAGGCCAAGGGAAGTGGGCCCCGTGGGTACACCAGAGGGAGTGTTAGTCAGATCAGCTCTACGAGGAAACGGAAGGAAAACTAGAAGGCCAACAGTCAGGGACTCTTACAGGAAAAGCACATTCAGCAATTGTCCCCGAAGGCCTGGTGCCAAGAGAGACAGGGCAGGAGCCAGGCGGCCACTCTGATAGGAAGATGTTAACAGTGCTGCCGTCACTGAGCTGGTGGAAGTGATTTCTCCGCCAACCCACAGTGGTCAGAAGAGCAGTGTTACCAACCAAACACTGACTGAAATCCAGAAGGCTCTATTACAGGTTTTTTCTTACCCAAAGTCTTTGCTTGTAGGTTAGAAATCACCCTACAAAGAAATTAGCCAATGTTATTCACACAGGAAGCATTATTATTAAAAAAAAAGAAAGAAAGAAAGAAAGCCACAACACCATCCGAAGATATCCTGCTTTAAAACCCATAAAACCACCACAGAAATTGTTCTCAGGTTTCTAAAAACCTCAAAAATTTTAATCAGCTTGGCAAAAGCCACATTAGGCAATTATAAAATCTCAAAACTCTTCAGTGCAAACTATGACAATAATTTAGAACAATTGCAGCTCTCAGTTGTTGGAAATAATGGGAAGAGAAAATAGAACAGGGGTTGGAATGGGGCCTAGACTTGTAACACCCCGAGATGACTCATCTACCCAGAAAACATGCTTTCAAAATAAGAGCAAGCTCACCAGCCCGCTAACGCTTTTTAAAAAAATCAACCTACTGTCTGTGCCCCGCCCCCCCGCAAAGTGCTCAATTAATAAGAGTTTTCTTTACCACTTACTCCTGATAAATCATCCATCCCCAGGATGCAAGGCTAAAAGGTTGAACACGTAAACTTTTCCCACTAGAAACTCCAGCTCCACCATCTTGCTGAGGACACACAACAAAAGTAAGCTACTTCCTGAGAGGCAGCCAACAAAGTGACTGCAAAACATAACCATGTTACAGCTCCAACAACCCCTCATTTTACTTACTTTATTGCATTATCAAGAATATTCCTCACATACACCAGGGAACTTCTTTTTCCTGTTTTCTAGGAGTGAGAACACATCAGAGGCGTGGAAGGTGAAGGTTTTGTGGGTAACATTTTTCACATCGAAGTCATCATGCGAGATAGTTAACAGTTCGGAAAAAAGAGAGATTTTTCTGGGTAATCAAAACATCCAGATTCTTAAAAAGAAATTGTTAAAAAAAAGTTTTATTCTGAAACTATTACAGATTTACAGGAAGTTGCAAGTCAACTATATATTTTATACAACAACACTACAACTATAGCCAACAGTGCTACAGGGAGCTCTCATGTACGCTTCACCCAGTCTCCCCCAGCGTTTACATCCTATATGAATAACTTTAGTATGATGTCAAAGTGGGACACTAACACTGGTACAA